ATTTTTGTTGTTTCAGATTACCATTGACTGCTCTGCTCCATTCTTTCAGCTTGTCTTTCGAGGCCCTCAATTTTGATACCAGGATGAAATCAGGTTTGCCATGAAGGTTGAAAGATTCCCACCAGCTCCTTTTCCTGTCATTGAAACCATCAGTATTTAACCACCAATTTTCAAATTTGAAGTATGACTTGGTCACCTCCCATTCTCCACATTGTAGAAGTATTGGAGCATGGTCTGATACTATCCTCTGCATCACTGATTGTTTGATGTTCCTGAAGGTTGAATCCCAATCCTCTGAGAATAGGAATTTGTCAAGTCTAGCAGCTATGATGTATCTCTCTCCTCTCCTCCAAGTGTAATTTCCACCAGCTAATTTTAGGTCCATCAATTCCATATCCTCTATAAACTCTGAGAATTGTGTCATTGATATGTTGATTCTATTACAATTGACCTTTTCAGATTGATGGGTATATGACTGTGTTAAAATCCCCACATAACACCCAAGGGCCATTGATTAATCCCCTAGCTGCCCCCAATTGCCACCATGTTTCCTCTCTTTCTATAGTGTCATTTGGTGCATACACGCTTGTGATGTGCCAGTTAAGTTCAAAATTCAATCTTGATAAGCTACAAAACACTGAGTATTTCCCCACACTACTAACCACCCCTTCAAAACTTCTTTTCCCACATTATGACAATCCCTCCCCTTGTCCCACTTGCCTCCAATTGCACATGATCAACTCATCTGCTACCGCATATTTCTTTGACATAGTTTGCAATTTCCCCTTCCAGTTTTGTTTTCTGGAGACAGTCTCCATCAGCTTTCCAGATCTTCAACAAATTTCTAATCATACTTTTTTTTCTCTTGCAGTTTAGCCCCCTTACGTTTCAAGATATTATGTTCACCTTCATTGATCCATGATGGCCAGATACCCCCTTCTACTCATAGTACCATTACTCATGAATTTGGTGTCCAGTTGTAAACTTTTCAATTCTTATAAACCTTTTCTTTTGTTGTTACCCAATTCACTTTATTTTCCCCTATCTCCTTGTTTATTTCTCTCTATCTTCATCAGCAATTCCTTTACTTTTCCATCACATCCCTTAAAATTAACTCCACACTGAGTCTTAACTATATTTTGTTGTATCCATTCGGATATTGTTGAATCGGGTTTGCTCTTCTTCTGGGAATTGGATTTGCAATGGTACTGCATCTTCTATTGTTAGGTTATGATTATCTTCTATTTGTTTCCCTCCCCCCCCCCCTTTCTCCTCTTTTGGGAATTGGATTTGCAATGGTACTGCATCTTCTATTGTTAGGTTATGATTATCTTCTGTTTGTCCCCCCCACCCCCTTCTCCTTGTTTTTCATGTGAAATCTCCTTTGAGTTTCTTGTCCGATGTGCTCCTACAAATTCTCCTTCCATTGTACTAATTTTGCTTGGGCTGATTGTTCCATAGAGATTGCCGCAATTTTGATATTAATTATGGTTAAATCTTTGCCCATCTCTGCTGTTTTAATTTTTTCTATGTTATTGGATCTTTGAATGGGCCCAATACCTCTTTCTGACCCATACCCCTTTTATCTTGCCTTTTACCCACTGATTCTTTTAAAGTTGGCCCCACTTTGGCTCTTGCCTCTTCACGTGAAGTGCCCACCTGCCCCTCCACAAATTTGGGTTTTAAAAAGGGAAAATTGTATATAATAGCAAACTATTAATTCAAATTAAATGCTATAAATATAGTTTGATTTAATTGTACCTCATAGCAAATTGTTACTATTTCACCTCTCTCCTGTGAATCTCGCTCGCCACTCTCGTTCTGTCCCTCGCCTCTCTCGTTTTTTATACAAACGCAAGTGTATAAAGTGTGTTTGTGTTTGTATAAAGCGAGAGAAAATTGTATATATACATATATTTTCGTTCCCCTCTCTCCCCTCTCCCAGATCTCGCTCGCCACTCTCCCAGATCTCGCTCGCTCACTCGCCTCTCTCACTTTATACAAACACAAATGTATACATT